GCTGACGCCGATCTCCGATGCCCACGAAAGGAACCTGACCTGGTAGATGAATCACACACCATGGGGCGCGACATTCTGAACGGAAGGTCGGGGCCATGAAGCATCAACTGTAAACGATACCGCTGATTCGCCCTCATCTGTACACACACGTCAATTTGTCGATGAGCAAGTCGTCAAAGCTGCTAACGGACGGTATCCCAGGGCTGGCGAATGAGGACGAGTGGTCGCTGAAATTTTCGCCACCTCGAACCCGTTTTGGTTCGTGCTTGTAGTCCAATCTGTGAGGGTCCCCCGTCTGCCATCTTCCTCCAGATCACCAGCGGAAAGGGCGGGTTTGCGGGGAATGAGGGGAGGGCTTGCTGTTGGACCACAATCTCAGCGGACAGACGTCAGGGTCGTCATGATCAGCTTTCCCCCGGACCAAGCTAGACCTGGGGCGGCGTGCACGACTCGCCACGGGCGTGCGCTCTGATTGCGCGAATGTTGCCCATGATTGAAGATTGAAGTTGGTCATTTCAAGTTTTCCCCCCCCGTGTTTACCGATAGGTACTCCGCCGCTTGCTGGAGACAGGAGGATCGCGCGTTCTCGGCCGTTCTACCTTTCTTTGCTGCCTTGCCTTCTTTCCTGCGCCATGTTCTGCATGTGGAGAGAAGGCAACAGCAGCATTCCTTCGAACGGGTTGCATCCCCACCACTGCCTCCCGTCCCTCCAATCCGTGAATCTTAGCTCTCAGCCTGCGTTCGAACCGGTCAGGACTTCGGCCAGAGCAATGCATGCATCCTCCGAGGAGTACTATGCAGTTGGCCAAAGTCAGGGGCGCCCACACTCCCTGATGGGGAGGAGCATGGCATGCGGCCGCTTCACCGGTTTGTCCCTCGTTGACGTTCCATTGCCGGCGCCGCACGGCATGCATCTACGGAGAACCAGGGGGGGAGGACTGTCTCCTTGTATCAGGACGGCGGCACAGCCTCCTGACAATGGTGGCCTCGTCCAACTTCCCACCAAACTCAGATGGCGTTCGCTTACCCCTGCCCTGAGGAGAAGAGATACGAGGATGAGGGGGGGGAAGGGGGGTAAGTTGAGGACCTGCAGCGCGGAAACGCAGGCCATGCTTCCCCGAACTGGGCGGCATCACTATCTGCTCTGCAGGTTCGTCTCAATTTGAGCCTCGCGGAGCGGGAGCCTCCTTGGGGCATCCCCCAAACGCTGGGGGTGGTTCCCAACATGGGGGAACAGGGGGCGGGATTCGGTTGACTTAGCCGGAGTTCAATGACGAAGTCCCCCCCCCCCCCCCCGCCTTTCGGCCTCTTCTTCTTTTTCTTCTTCCGTCCTTCTTGCGGAGACCGGTCTGGAACGTCGTGAGGCTCTTTATGATCCAGATCCTGATTTTTGATGTGGTTTCGATGACTGTGGTGTGCTGTTTCAGGAGCGAATCCTCCCTATCCTGTTGGGCTGCGCAGCAGGGCGGATATGTCGGTTCGGCCCTCGGAGCCGACACGAGCATCTCGACAGATCGGCCGGTCGCATCACTGCTGCTGACGGATCGACGGGCGTTGAGATGGATCTACAGTGACATGAGCCGGCGCTGTTCTCCGAGAATTCACTCAGGAACCATACTATGGAATAATGAGACGAAGGATCTGTGTGTTCAGATTCAGCCAAGATTGACCTCGAAGATCTGCCGTTTCTTATGCTTTGGGTCTTGAGGTTGCACCCGCCGGACGCAGAGATGCCCGAAGACCACCTATAACGCCGGTCTTGCATAGACAGTCGCAACATTTAGATGAAAGAAAGACTTCCTATCAGGCCTTACTTCGGAGGGGGGACGCGTTTAACCATAGTTGGTCAATGAACTGAGCCCTCTGCCCCCGAGTCACATTACCCAGGTGGGAGAATCTGGGAGCACAGCCCATATTACTGCCGAAATAAGAGACCCCATGAATGCTATAGAGTTTGCTATGACTTTGTAAACAGATAGGCGTTTGGTGGCCTTTGTCGGAGGAAGCTGTCTCGATCCGTCTCAGCCATGTTGAACATGTAAATTTGCTTAGACAGGTACATTGATATCTCGACTTGGATGATGAGAATGATTCCTAATCTCATCATTCTCGTGGTATGAACGATAGCATCATGTTCTTGAACTCCGACAGACATGTTTGTAATGAGTTTGTGCCCGCTTCTCACCCAGCCCACCCATTATGAAAAGATGACCATACAAGATGCTGATATGGACAGAATCACCAATGTCGATACCATAGGACCAAGTACGATTGAAGATTTGCCTTGCAGCTGATCAGGATGACGCACGAGGACGTGGGCGGGCCACAACCATGCTGTCGCGGGCAGCCTCCGTGTTGCCAGCTCTCCGCACAGCCATGGACGTGTAGAAGGAGGGATCGTTGGCAGCCACGACGGCCCTCGTATAGCGATAGGTCTCGAAGCACTCCATGATGGCCTGGTCAACGGTCTGGGTATCTTTTACGATGCCCGTGTTGAGCACGGCCTTGATCAGATCCTCGACGCCCTCAAACTCGGCCTGGTTGATGCGGTAGCGGTCGGGCAAGCCAGAGTTGTGAAGCATGGCGAGCATGCCGGCGATGACCGTGTTGACGCCGGCCAAGATGGTGATGGGGATGCCACTCTGGAAAGCCATGGCGCCGACGCCGGTGAGGGCAGCGCCGACGAAGAGCTGCATCATCATGCCGGCCCAGCGGAGGAAGGCAACGGCGTGGAAGTAGAACAGATACTTGCGGCGCAAGGCAGCGACGTCCTTGTAGAGGCCGCTTGGCAGTCTGCGGCGGGGTTTGAACCAGGACATTGACGTTGGAGGATAGAGGGGTGTCTGGTCCTCGAGGTCCATATCTGCCCCGACGGCTCGGGCGAAGATGGCTCGCTCGGAGGGGGTCAGGAAGCGGTAACGAACGTGTTTGCGTTGTGGCTTGCTGAGCAGGCTGGGGGTGCTGCTCGAAGGGTTGGGCAGAGGGTCTGGTCGTGGCAGAGGTGCGTTGTCGGACATGAAGGGCAATAGTTGGAGGTTCCGAGACACAAAAGGTGGTGGATAGACGTGGACGAATGACTCTCGTGGTTTCGATGTTTTTCACGGAGGCCACAGCGATGAAGATCAAGAAGAAATACAGAGTCAAGCTGGGTGTTGGTCTTTGGACAATCTCGTGCTAGCAATTGCAGTCAAGTCATGCGTTCACTCGTTCCTTCCTTCTCCTTATCAGGTTTCTCTCGAGGCAGGTAGGCTCCCGCCTTCTCGGGGTGAGCCTTCTACAAAGTCATCGGACGCTGCGGTAGGGCGCTCTGATGTTTGTGCACGTGTGACACGACTCTTTCAAGCCTACCATATGAATTGTGATTGGAAACGAGGGACAGCCCAGCGAAGTAGGTTTTGATGGTAATTGACTGGATGCTTCAGTGTAACATTCAGTGATACAGGTGCCTTGTCAGGTTGCGTGGTTGACTTCCAATCCCAATTTGGCCGTAATGCGTACCTCGGTGTCGAAAAGCTCCCATGTGGTTGAACAGACTATCAACAAAAAGAGACTAGTCGGCTCCTTTCTACTCTTGACATTGTCATCACTTGCTTACTGATTTGAACGCCGTGATATGTGCCGGAGAGGAGGAGGGGCAGGCATGAAGGTTGTTTCTGTTACAAAGGCAATTTATCAAATAATAGGTACGAGAAGGCACTCAAAAAGTCCGAGACTCTTCCTCGTAGACAGCTAGCGTTTGAAGCTTTCCCGCACAGCAAGCGTTGGATTCATGAGTATCCAGCATGTGCATGCAAATAAACTTTTTGACCCCAAGTCCAGAATGCTACGAGGAAATGAACAGCAGAATTGTAAGAAGGCCCCATCGAAGCCATGGAACAGGGGCCTGGTTAGGGGTTAGGGACTACGAGAACGCGTGAATATGGTTGAGAGCCCTTCTAGCTGCGGAGGGCCAGAATTCAGATGTATTTTACCCCCAAACCTATCATATATTGCCTGCGGACCTAGTGCGAAAGACACAGCTAAAACCACGCTCTGATAAGAATCATGAGATGATTCTAGGAAGAGGCCAAGAAGAAGATTGGCAAAAGTGATCAGGCAATGATGAGGCTCCAATGTCGCACAATTATTAGTGTTGGCAAGTGAAGATTACACGTCTTCTGGCCAAACGTAGCATTGGAGACCACTTTGAGATATGCCAGAGTTCTTCTGCGGGCCAAGCCAACTACTGATAGTAACCAGCGGTCTAACGGGGCATCGAATCGTGGAAGAGTCCAAACATATCCAAAGCGACTATGGCGGTCGAAAGAGGCAGCATAGAAGTTGTAGCGAGCAGTCTCGTCATGCTGCAATATCATGTGGTAGCCTACTTAGGTACCTCAACGAGAGTGGCTGTGTCTCCAGCGCTCAACCAACACGTTAAAACGTCTGCGGGTGATTGGCCATGGCCTTGGTCAAGTTGGCTGCTGAAGACCTTTCAGTGGCCGAGGGCATGCGGTCGGTTGGTTACATGGCATGATGCACCGCTGCCCGCTGACTTTGGCTCAGCCTCCATAGGATTTCATAAAAAAGCTGGGGTCCAGCTCGTCGATCCTAGCCTTGTCAATGTCGTTTCTCGTTATTCACCTCACTTGATCTGTCAATAGATTCCCGAACGGTTCTGCAATCAACAGAAAGACATGGCAGATCCGCTTTCGATCACGGCTAGCGTGATAGGGGTTGTCACGGCTGGTTTCGCCATATCTTCGAGCCTGTACCACATTGTCGATTCGTTCAAAGAGGCTCCGAAGGAGATACATGCCTTCGCCTCAGACATTGATTTGACATCAACAATGCTGCAAAGCGTCTGCGAACTCATCGACCTGCACAGAAGTCTTTACAAAGCCCACCTGCTTAACGTTATAAAAGATCTGCGTTGGCGCTTCAAGCAAATTCAAGATGTCATTGCCAAATGCCCACAGCCAGGGCATAAGTCCCTTCTTTCTCGATTCAGATTTCTTTTCATGAACCACAAAATCACGGGTCAGATGAAGAAGCTAGAAGGAGTCAAGCACACGATGAGCCTGACGCTGTCAATTGCTCAACTGGCCGAGAATTACCAGTAAGCCCATGCGTTATTGAATGGCACAGAATTAGTGTCCTAATGGAGACTGAAACCTTTCCAGAGCACCATACTCGCACGCGTCGCTCAGAGCTCTGCGCCTAAAAGCCATGATCACCATTGAAAGGTCCCGAAGAGCCGTCTCGCAGCTCATGGACACTCTGTTTCAACCGCAGATAGAGGCTGTCCAGCAACAGCAGATCGCCCACGATGAAAGACCGCAGGCGATGGCCACATGGATGTCACTGATGCTGTCAGCGCCAAACATACCTCTGGATCGCCGGTTGCCGAGTAATGAGATTGGGCAGATTGCCAGACAAAATGAGCGAGCAGTTGAGATTCACAACAAGCCAGGGCTTCGACCGAAACCGATGGAGGGCCTGGAAGTAACGGCAACCAGATTCTCGGCCCAAGATATTGACAAAAGGGCCCTCGAAGAACTCCATCTCGATTGGCAGACTTCTGCTGATAATGTGAGTGTTGGCCACGCGTAGCCATTCACCATCTCTGTGTACAGTCCGTAAGCCCGGTGCATCAGCAGCTGACCTCTTCCTTCTCTTATCCAGTCTACCGTGCTTGTCACGAAAGACAAAAGACCACTGAATGAGTTCGAAGTAGATATGGTTGCTGGGACCAGCATAGTTATCCAGGCTACATCTAACCCGGACTGGCACGTCATGAACACACCTTTTATGAGCTTGGGACGCAAAGCGTTGGCGCATCGCTTGATAGAAGATTGGACGACATTCGATATCAGGGTGTTTTCTGATGACACAGACGGTAATAATCATTTACATCCCGAAACTCATGTTAACGAGGTTCGAGGTGGCGACGATGACTCAATCTTCACAAGCTCATCTGATGAGTATGTGAATCAGTACTTATATTCGCCAGCCTTGGGCCTCGGAAGTGAGCTCAGAGTTCGCAGTGGGCCATCCAAGAACATCCACTGGCGCTTTTCGCAACCAACAGTCGAGACCCAATGGGCCGATCCATGCGAGCCGTTCCGTTCCCGCGGGAGCACGGCCACCTTTACCTGACGACCTGGCTTCATTCTACAGTAATATGAGTTCATCGCCACGGCCGGCAGAGGGACGGAGAATCTTCCCTTATAGACCAACTCAGGTCCCGGAGGTTAGTCAATACGCTTACGCCAACCCACCGCCCCAGCATCACCACAGTTTCGCCAGTCTCTATGACGAAGCACCACGCAATCCAGTGCGCGAAAGGCACCCACTGTATATGAGGGATACATGGCGACCCGACGTAAGAGAGTTTGATTCGATACCACACCCCGGTTCGAGTCCCTATGACGATCGGACATATGGATCACGACCAACTCAAGATTATTGTACAGCCGTCGACAACGCGCGACATTCTGAGGCCCCATCAATGTTTGCTAACCCAGGCCAGTACCGCATCTGCCTTCTTCTTCAACTGTTCCACGCCCCCCTGTTCCTCATCCATGGCATACTCCCGGAAGTTGGCCAGCCAATGCTGCGAATTATCATGAGCCTCCGATCTATCAAATAACGAAGCCTTTGAAAAAGCACGACCGAGCAGTATGCACGCGAGAACCTTGCCATCAAAGTACAGGCCTGTAACTGTATCATCTGACCAAGGATATAGCTCAGATTATCTCGCCCCCGATCAAGGATACAACTCCGACGACGTTGCAGACGATGGCGCAGGCGGATTTGGACAAGCCGGCCCAAGGGGGACGATCGACCAAGTTGAATTATTCGAAGTCGAGTCTGTAGACTCACGACTGAGAGAACTAGACAGTATTTCCGAACCCGCGAAGAAGTCTGATGTTGGAGAGCCTCATCATCTTACAGAGCAGATGGTGAAGAGGCCAGTACAGGAACCGCTCCCAAGCAAAGCAACTACAGACAATGATTGCCCGTCATCGACTTCAGATACTGCACACGTTTTCGCGATTCACCCCGAAGAGGCAAGCACAGGAAAGCAAGACGGAAGGGACATCAGGGCTCTGTCACTGAGAAGACCCATGCCGTCACCCACAGCTCAGAAGCCGACTACCAGGGCGCGAGCAGTCAGGCGACTCACCGCTCAGATAGAAGAAGCGAACGGAAATTCAAACACCAGTGACTCTGAGGAGTCCATGTCGACCGTCGAGCCGCAGCTGCCACCAGTCATGGATGCACCAGCACCCAATCACGGGAGCCTCGTGCCAGTCTCGACAGCATGGCGAGGCGTAGTATCCCCCGTCCGGCCACATCTTGTCCCCGTTTACGTCAGGGGCAACGGTAAGCGGCCATATTTTCCTGGTACTTTTGCAGGCTTGGAATGCCGTACCTGCACACCTGTCTCACGTTGTCTAATGCTTTTCCGTAGAATTAGGACAAACTTGGTATGCAGGACCGGAGCGTGTGTATGTTGAGCAGTTTTCATCGGAATACCTGCCTTGCGGCACTGACTGCTGCTCGGGTGGTCTCCACGGCCAAGAAAGACAATATCTTCTCATCAGCACCGACTGGGTCAGCTTGGAGGCCCTAGAGTACCACGGCTTCAAGTACAAAGTCGCGTGGCAGCATTGCCTCTGTCTCAATCCGGACCTGAGATACGTAGGTCGACCGGATGGCTCTGCAGAGATTATCGAACTGACGAGCATGCCAGGACGATGTATTGACCTTGTTTAACTTCAGCTGGCATCTCCGCCAGGTGCACGTTTCTCCTGGAAGTCGTGATGTTTTCGTGGTGGAGTCAGGAACGTGATTGAGACCGCCTTCCTGATGGGCGCGCGGCAGAATAACGCCCCACTGAAATTTCATCGACGGCTTCACCTGCCCTTGGCCACCTGCCCTTGAGCTTTCCAGGTCGAGGCAACCAAAAGAGCGTCGAAAACCCTCACTAGCGGCCCATCCCCATTCTCACTGCATGTATCTTCTAACCCTGTGTCGTTCTTTCCATCGAAGCTCAAATCGCTTCAAGCTCCCGCGCGCCGCCTCGCCTGCAGCGCTCTTGTCATCCCTGAGTTCCATCTCACGCAGGAGTCATCTCATCAACCACGACGTCCATCACCCCAGCAAGCTCAGACTGGCCAGGGGCATCACCATGGCGTCTGCAGACCAAGGGGGCGCGCAGAAGGCCGGTGGCGGCGGGGATTCGGTCACGTATGACGGCAAGGAGTACGATGTCATCCAGGAGGGCATGGCGAGGATACTTGTGCCTGGAGGCATGGAGGAGAACAAGGACAAGAACGCCCAGCAGGTCTTCTACAACCCCATCCAGCAATTCAACCGCGATCTCTCTGTGCTTGCCATCAAGGCATACGGCGAAGAGGTCATTGCCAACCGCAAGGGGCATCCCGCGGCGAAGCGCCTCGACAACAAGGAGAAGAAGAGACGACGTGGCGACGAGAACGATGGCAACGACCGCCCTGCCAAGGTCCAAGTATCCGAGGGCGAGGGCGAGGGCGATGCCGAGGTGACGATCACAAAAACCAGCGACGCAGCCGCTGCGCCTGCGCCTGCGACGGCCGCCGAGACGGAAGGCAACGGGAGTACCGAGGAGCCAAGAAAGCCCGAGCCCCAGCCTCGCTTCACCATTCTCGATGCGCTGTCAGCCTCGGGCCTGCGCGCTCTCCGCTACTCGCACGAGCTGCCCTTTGTCACGTCGGTGACGGCGAACGACCTGACGAAATCGGCCGCCGAGTCGATCCAGCTCAACGTCAAGCACAACGGCCTCGAGGACAAGATTGTCGTCAACCACGACGATGCCATCGCGCACATGTACCGGCGCATCGCCGATGACCTCTCCAACAGGGACAGCCGCGGACGGCCCGGCACCAAGAACAAGTACGACGTCATCGACCTGGACCCCTACGGCACGGCGGCCCCCTTTATCGACGCGGCGCTCCAGGCCGTGCGTGACGACGGCGGCCTGCTCTGCGTCACGTGCACCGACGGCAGCCACTGGGCGGGCCACTGCTACGCGGAGCGGAGCTTCGCGCTGTACGGTGCCGTCCCGGTCAAGGGCATGCACTCGCACGAGGCGGGCCTGCGGCTGATCCTGCACACGCTGGCGTCGACGGCGGCGCGCCACGGGCTGCACGTCGAGCCGCTGCTGTCGCTGTCGATAGACTTTTACTGCCGGCTCTGGGTGCGTGTGACGAAGAGCGCCAACGCCATCAGCTTCCTCGGCGGCAAGACCATGGTGGCGTACCAGTGCTCGGGGTGCACGGCGTGGGAGACGCAGTCCCTGGTGCGGACGCGGCCCGAGCCCAAGAAGAAGGGCGGGCACTTTTTCAAGCACAGCCTCGCCAAGGGCCCGCCGACGGACGGCGCGTGCCGGCACTGCGGCTCGGCGCAGCACGTGGCGGGCCCCATGTACGGCGGCGCCATCCACGACCAGGGCTTCGTACGGCGCGTGCTCGACCTGCTGCCGACGGCGGACCCGGGCGTCTACGGCACGCTGCCGCGCATCGAGGGCATGCTGACGACGGCGCTCGAGGAGTACCTGCCGGGGCCGGAGCCGGCGGGGGACGTGGACGCCAAGGAGGCGGCGCTCGCGCGCGTCGACAGCAGCCCGTTCTTCGTCATGCCGTCCAAGCTGGCGGGCGTCATCAACGCGCAGCAGGTGCCGGACAACATGTTCCGCGGCGCGCTCAAGCACCTCGGCTACCGCGTCACGCGCAGCCACTGCCGGCCCGGCAGCATCAAGACGGACGCGCCGTGGGACACGATCTGGTTCATCATGCGCGAGTGGGTGCGGCAGAAGGCGCCGGTCAAGACGGAGAGGATCCGGCCGACCATGCCGGCGTACCGACTCTTGGGGCTCGACAAGGAGGCTGCGGTGGCTGCAGAGGAAGCTGCGGTGCCTGCCGCCGACGCTGGGATGTCTGTCGAAGACGCAGGCGAGGACACGATCGTGACGCAGGTGGAGAGCACGGCGAGACGGTCCGACGAGGCGGCGGCGCAGGACACGCACATGGGCGATGCCAGCGAGGCGGCACTGACAGAGGCCGACCTCCGCAAGACGCTCGTGTTCGACGATGCGCTCATCAGGCTGGGCAGGGCCAGGGACAACAGGAAACTCGTGCGCTACCAGCTGAACCCGCGCGAGAACTGGGGGCCCATGACGAGGGCCAAGGGAAAATGAGATGGAGGGCTCGTGGAAGCAGCAGGTTTTGAGCCAGTGCAGTGAGCAAATGCGAAGTCGAAGAATGAAAATGCTGTCTACCCTATTCGTGAGGCTCGATGCCGACGTGAAGGTAAGTGATTGAGATTGAGGGCAGCAGTGATGCTGAGCACGTCTGTAAGCACGTCTGAAGTCAGTCAGCGTCCAGCTGTTCCATTCCCTCGCAGCATTCAGGTCATCTCCATCCAGCCAGTATCACCAGCCTCACCAATATAGTACATGAATATATGCATGGCCTCGGTGTCGGGTTTTATCCAAAGGCAGGTTCCATCTCGATAACGTTCATCAAGAACCCCAACCTTTCGAGCCAGCCATACTCCTAGGTCCTCTAATTATCCCAGGGTACATCCTTGGCCTCGTTGGTGGATGCAGATGCAGGAGATGCCTATCGTTAGCATTGTGCGAGCTTGGGGTCCATGATGAACCCAAGGGACCTAGTACCGTAAGGTAAGGTATGTTGCCTTACCACCGTGAGGTAAGGTATGTCACCTTAGCTACCTACCTAGGTACATTAGAACGATGATTTATGGAGTTTGGGTGGCTCTATGGAGTCTCGGTGGCTCCTGTGTGCTGCGTTCCCTGGCAGACGGTGGAAGGAGCCTTCGTGGGTGCGCAGGTGCCTTCCTTCAGGGCATTGTACAGGGAGCAGGCACCATGGACAGGCACCATGGACAGGCAGCAGGCACCATGAGCTCGCACTTGCAGCAGGCACCAGGCACCATGAGCTCGCACTTGCAACAGGCACCAGCAACAGGCACAGGCACAGGCACTGGCACAGACACTGGCACAGGCACTGGCACCAGCACATCACCCAACAACAGACATGGAATCGCAAAGGATAATGGAAATAACGCAATTGCGGACCGCAATGCTTCATCGTCACGGCTCGTCGCACGACCCTCCTTACGTGAGAATATAAGACCGAGGCAGCAGTCGACCTTGCAGCCCTGGGCGAGCCGAGTGACGCCCGCCACGACCGACAGTCAGCACGACGGAATCACCGGCAACGTCCTCCTACAAAAACCTGGCGATAGCCTCGTCGAGCATCGAGCATCGACTCTCCTCCCGCCCACCATCTCTCACTCGTCTTCGGCATCCTCATCTTCATTCAACATCATGTCATCACCCTCTGTGCCTCAGGTCCTCTACGAGACGCCCATCGCACTCGGTGTCGTCGTCGAAGAGGGACATGTCGTGTTCGACACCAACGACACGCGGCAGCGCATCCCCGTCGAGGAAATCATCGCCATCTTCCCAGCCCGCATCGCCGTCGACGCTGCGGCGCCGCGCTACATCCTCGTCCACCTTCACGAAGATGCAGCCAGCACAGACACCCCCTACCGCATCGCCAGCTTCGTCGCCGACACCCTGCCACGAGAGCTTCTCGACCAACATCTGGTCTCGTCGTGGCCACGCCACCTTCACCGAGACAGGGACATCCACGTCGTCGTCTCCACGGGTTCTGGCCTCGGCATGGCATCCACCTTCTGGACCCTGGCACTCCAGCCCCTCCTCCGTTTCCTGCTCGACAAGGTCTACGACGCCGACGACGACGCCGACGACGACGCCGACGGGGGCCATGACGGCTACCACCTGCTCGTCACTAAGACGGCGCAGTGCGTCAAGGACTTTGCCAAAACCCGCTGGGCCGCCCGCCCTGCAGCGCCTCTCACCACCACCACCACCACCACCACAGCAGCGTCACCACGAAGCGAGACCATCATCCTCCTCAGCGGCGACGGCGGCATCGTCGACCTCCTCAACGGCACAACCTCGCCCTCGCCACCCCCCGGCCCGCGACCCTCCCTCGTCCTCGTCCCCCTCGGCACGGCCAACGCCCTCTTCCACTCCCTCCACAAGCCCCTCTACGCCCTGCCGCAAAGCCCCTCGCCCCTCGTCCTCGCCCTGCGCACCCTGGCCCGCGGCACGCCCGCCCCGCTGCCCTCCTTCCTGGCCTCGTTTCCCCAGGGCGCGACCCTCGTGAGCAGCGACCCCTCGACCGCCGTCGCGCCCCCGATCGCGAGTCTCCACGGCGCCATCGTCGCCAGCTACGGCTTCCACGCCCAGCTCGTCTGGGAATCCGACACGCCCGCCTACCGCGCCCACGGCGCCGCCCGCTTCGGCATGGTCGCTGCCGCCCTGCTCGCCGAGTCGCACGCCTACCTGGCTGACGTCGACGGCGCCCCCGCCCCGGCCGCCGGTGCCGCTGGCGGAGGCGATGGCATCTTGTGCTACTTGCTCGCGAACCCTCGTGTCGAGCCACGAGCGCACCTTTAC